CAATTCAGACTGAAATTCATTTTAAATCTTCATATTTAGCTCTCCAGCACCAATGGCATTAAAAGAACAAAGAGGTCTGGACCTGCTTTCAACCTGGTACAGAATCCTTACGTGGAAGTACCCTTAGCACTGCTATAAATCTACTTGTAGTGTAGTGTCGATTCATGGGAGAACCTTTTTTAGGCTACAACTTTTATTTCATGTAAGTGTTACAATTTCAATTGCAAACTGTAACATTTGAAACACAGGACTAAGGTTGCAATCTCATAAATACTTACTTAGGAGTAAGTCCACTGTATTGACTTTGACTACAAGTAGCCCTTGGGAATTGGGACTGGAATTTCCGCTGCTAAACTATGTGATAGTAAAGCGTGATGTCACATGACCGCATCACTTAACTTTGGCAATTCTGGCAATCCACGTTGCAATCATTAAATGAGAATTGTGGGTCATTCAGCAAGGACCTCCTTGCAACTTTCTGCTGGCTTCCCACAAGCAAAATCAATGGGGAAGCTGGCAAGAACTTGTGAGGAGGTCCTAGGCTGGGGTGGCTGCTGCTGGGGGGCAGGAAGGCATGCAAGTGGCTGCCCCAGTACCACAGAACAGCAGGAAGCTGCAGCTGCCCCAGCCCAGTCCAACAGCGCAAAGCCCCAGCCACCCCAGCCCAGCAGCACGAAGCCCCAGCCGCCCCAGCCCAGCTCAGTAGCACGGCGCAAAGCCCCAGCCACCCCAGCCCAGCAGTGCACAGCTGCCCCAGCTCCGCACTGTAGCACATCATGAAACCACAGCTGCCCCTGTCCAGCAGCGCAGCTTGAAGACCCAACCGCAGCCGCCCTGCATTCTGAGGCCCCCATCGCCCTGCATTCCACCTGAGATCTTGCCCTGGCTGACCTCCATCTTCTTGCTCCTGCTGCTGCTAAGGCATGCCCAGCCTGGCCCTTCACGAGGCAGCTGCTGGCCACAGAAGGCCTTCTTCCTGAGGTCTTGTGAGGAAACCGCCACATTCAAACTTGGGAAGAAGATCTTGCTCGATCAGCAGCCACCTCATGAAGGCCAGGCCAGGTGTGCTTTGTCAGCAGCGAGAGCAAGAAGACAGTGAAAGTCAGCTGGGGGCGGCAGGGGCTGCAGAGTGCAGAGGGTCAAAAGGGCAGAGATGGGGGGAGATAGGCAGGGGGTCGTAGAAGTGTGCCCTGTAGTCGTAAATGGTTGGGCTGCAAGTGCCCAAATTTTGATCACATGACCACAGGAGTGCTCCAATGGTCATAACTTTCAGGACCAGGCATAAGCAACATTCATTCAGCGCCCTCGTAACTTCGAACAGTCGCTGAACGAATGGTCATTAAGCGAGGACTACCTGTGCCTTACAAATAGACTTTCATAGGCTGCTCAGTCAAATCAGTGCTTTCTGTTGCAGTACAATTAAAATGTAATCAATCTGATTTACAATTTTGTGTTATATCGGTTTTAACCCTGCATCACTTAAAAAGCACTAGTATTTCTGTTAAAGATTTCAGTGAGACTAACCTCAAATCCACTTATCTTAAACAATTTGTGCAACAATACTTACTAATCTGTGCCTCATGGTGTGGATTTTGTGAACTGCTATGCTGAGATTTTTTATAAACTGTTTCTCCTGCTCTCAGAGCCTGTTTAAAATATTTTTCAGCTTCTAAAATAGTAGTTGCTTCTTCCTCAGCCAGAAGAATATATGCTGTGGCACAGCTGAAAGGAAAAGGAAAAATGAAACATTTGATATGTATTTCAATACATTTGAAATGGTATTCAAATAGAAACTAGCTTCGGATTTATTTTGAATGTGGATATTATAATAATAGTAACTAACATTTCCTGAACTAGGGAGCTATAATTAACAATTCTGCCATATGAACAATATTTCAAACTATGATTTAATGGACAGGCTTGTTCTGAAGCTGATAACCATAGTCACCTATCTGAAATTGGAAATTATACTGAATTAAATAGAGGCTTCCAAAATTTATTGTTCATGCTACAAATATTAAATACTGTACAAATAAGATTAAAATATTATTGTGAAGTCCTTGACGCTCTCTGAGCTTGGTTGTTTGCTTACAGATGTTTCATTGCCCGACTGGGTAATGCCATCAGTGCTGGTGAGTGTGGGGTTTGCTCCCTGTTTATATAAAGTAGCTTGCAAACTACTGTATATAAACAGAGAGCAAATCCCACACTCACTAGCACTGATGATGTTACCCAGTCGGGTAATGAAATGTCCAAAAGCAAATAACCAAGCTCAGAGAGCACCAAGAACCCCACAGTTCAACCCTGAGCTACATATATTCTCTTCTATGAGATATGATTGTATGAATGCAATCCCCCCAAAAAAGTCACTCCAAATGCGGATAATAGAAAAAGCCAATGGAAGATAGTTATTGCCCCGAGTGTTGTGAATTATTTGGATGAATCTTTCAGCTTTTGTAACATAAAATGCTGAATATGGTAACCTTTGATTGATTTAATAGTTATTCTTATTTTGAAGGTATCAAGGAAATAATTCTTCCAATTTGATCCCACACATGAGAAATTATTCTCATTCTAGATGGCCATTTTAGGTAAGACTAAAAAATCAGTGCCTATAAAAAGTATTTGTGGCACCATGATGAATACAAATATGAAATTGTGTTCTATTCTACGTAAAGCCTAATATTATTATTTGGCTTGAAATAAATTACAGGTAGTCCTCACTTAATGATGGTAATTGAAATGGAATGTCCATCGCTAAGTAATGTGGTCACAAAGCATGACATCACATGATCACGCTGCTTAGTGACAGAAATGCCAGCACTTCCAGTTGCTTTCATTAAGCGAATCACATGCTATAAAGCATGATGTCACATGGTGGCCATTCGACACCTCCTGCTGACTTCCACATTGACTTTGTTTGTAGGAAGCCAGCAAAGAAGGTCACAAATGGCAATCATGACTGTGGGATTCTGCGACGTTGTAATTGTGAGCCAGGCACTGAGGACCCGGATTGTGATTATGTGACTGCAGGGACGCCACGATTTTGTAAGTACAAGAACCAGTTGTAGGTATCACTTGTTCAGCACCATCATAAGTTCAAATGGTTGCTGAACAAGTAGTCATTAAGTGAGGACCATCTGTAGTAGATGGAAAAAATTAAAATGGAAGTACTACTGGTTGCATAAAATCATAAAATGCACATAAAAATAAACTGTGTCAGAAGATGCAGACATAAACATAATTGACAAAGGAATGTACTAGCCCAGTGCTATAGGAATACCTGCTGCACTTCAAACATATGAATCAGAACACTAAATTTCTCAAAGCTTTCAAAAAAGGCAAACTATGACTTTTCTGATTCTTTATTTAATTTAAGATTTAAATTATTACCGAGGAGGGCTGCAACAGTCACATTTATTTTAGACTGAGAAATCCTTCTTCCCATCCAAACACATTTTGTTTTACTATGAAATTCTGAGCACAACTGAGACTAGACTAAGAACCTGCAGTAAGTCTCAATAAGGCATGTACTTTCCTAGTTCGCTCACTGAAAGTAGTATAATCCAGAAGCACAAGTTTACTTCCACTGTGCCCTTTCTTTTTAAGAACTGAACCATAAAAACAGATCTGGCATCTTCACACTTCATGCGAAGAGTTCAACCTCTAAATATTCCTGTCTTCTTGTTTAAAGGATTGAATAACATGGGAGAAATTTCAAGTAATAAGAATGATTATTACACAATAAAAGACATATCATTTGAGTCTGCTAATCATATAACTAGTTAATACAAAATTATATTTATGGCTTTAATTCAAACTGAAATTTTAATTCAATTCTGTTTAGACTGAGAACACAAACTTACTCATTATTTAATTCTAAAGCTTGATACGCTGCTTTGATTCGGGCCTGAGGGTTCCTTTCCCGCCATGCCTTCTGCATAACTGTTTAAACAGAATAATTTGTGTAAAAATTAAACTAATATTCATGCAAGAAGCACATTCCAGAAAAATAAAAGTGACTTTAAGAGAACAATATCACCTATTTCTGTGAAAATTAATGCCTAACTGAATTTTATGTATGTTTCCTAACAAGAAAGAAAATGTTTAAAAAGTGAATAACAGAAACATACAAAAGTGGCAATTACACCCCCACACACATACACAATTTTTTTTTTTTTTTTTTTACAAATGACCCTAGTTACTGCTTTCCTCCTGCCAAAGACGAGGCAGGTTGTACTAGGTGGCTAGAATTTGTTTCTTTCTTCTGCTGGGTACTAAGGCTATTTATACGAGGGTAAGTGAGAGAGATCCTTAGTACGTTACTATGATACAATAGCTGAATTCATTTTTTAAAAAAACACATAGCTCTAATTCTGAAAAAGTTATAAGCAAAAGATCGTAATCTGAGAGAAATATCTACACCTGCCCTAATCAGAAGAAAATCACATTAAGATCAATTGTACTAAGATCCATGTGGCTAATTCCAAGATAAATAAATGCAAGATTGCAGTCTGAATGTCTGATCTTCCTTAATTTTAGCAATAAAATTTTTTAAAAACCATATATGTTTCCTTTGGAAACAAAAATGCAACTGTCCAACAAGAATAATGTGGAAAATGCTGCAAAAAATTTTTGGAAGTAAAAAGTTAGCTTTGGCTTGGATAATGAGGTAATATTCATACAACAAAACCCTGCTCTTCTAGCAATAAACATCATTAGAGTAACTTATAGACAGCAAGTTGTGACTGATAGATGAATTAGAAAGCATAAATGCATCAATTGCTGAAACTTAGATATACAACACTGACTGCCTTTTTTTTTTTAAGAAGGAATAGTTGATATATAACTCCCACAGAAATATAGCACAATCAGATGTTGTAAAATCTCAGTCTCATTTTTTAAGACATTCATAAGTAAGCACACTTGTTCATCCCTTACTATTTCTATTTCACAAACTCCACAGAGTAGTCTATCATATAGACTGAAAAGAACATTTAATTTCAAGATTACTATTCAGACAAGAGTAGACAGTAGACAATCTTCTCTACTAAAAAGAGAAGATTAGCTCAGCCTGACTTGCATATAAAATATGGATCTCTAGTCATCTCATCTAGACCGATCCACAATTATAAAATGGAAGTTTGCACAAACTGGGAAAGAATGAATGGAGACTACATTTTGATATTCAGTAAATACACTATAACAGAGGAGTTACTTCTGAGGTTTTCCCTACTTATGCTTACACTACATTTATGGCTGGAGTGAAGACCTTAACAAGAATAAGAGTCACTATCACAAGTGTTTTCAGCAACAAAAATCAAATATATCCCTATTCACCTTTTTCACCTTTCACAAAGGCAAACAAATTATACCTGCATCTGAAGGCCTAAGAGAGTCTGTTTCACAGGTGAAAAAACTCTGATGATCCTGAGCAGATAAGTTCATATCGTAATATGTTAGTGGCTCCTTTCCTGTCACCCATGTGTATCTTCAAGAGAAAAAAAATGAGTATCATTAATTCCATAATTCTATGTATATCTATTCAGAACTAGCTTCTTTCTAAGTGAATGTAGTTTTTAATTTTTTTAATGCCTTCTAGTCAATCCTGACTCCAGGTAGTTACATGGAATAATCCATAGAGTTTTCTTGGCAACATTTTCAGAAGTGTTTGCCTTCTTCCTAGGGCTGAGAAAGAGTGACTGGCCCAATATCACCCCACTGGCTTTGTGTCCAAGGCAGGACTAGAACTCAGTTTCTAGTCCAGTGCCTTTAACCCCTACACTAAACTGGCTCTCAAGCATGTATAGTACTTCAGCCTTAAGGAATTATTAACACAAGAAACAGAGATGTAAGAAGTATGTTTAACTGAGTAGCTTGTTCTTTTTTTGGTGTGCCTTTTTATGATGTAGCTTCAATAAATAGTAACTTAAGAAAGAATAGAGAGACTTAGAGTAAATCTTTACTGTAAGTTTCCAAACAAGCTGGGATTTCAGAACAGAAGTGCATTGGAGTTCATGATGGCAATTAATTTTAATAATACTTCAGAAATGATAAATTCATGGTATCCATTAAAACAATTATTTCCACCAAAAAAGAAAAGAAAAGAATTATCTGTATTATGATTACCTGTGCAAACAATAATCCACCATATCTTTGGATATACTCAGGATTAGATATAATTTTTAACTTGTGCCTTAGTTTTTATTGTTTTAAACAAATAATGTATAAAACGAATGCAAACATTGAGTACCTGTTATATTCTGCTCCTCTAAAGAGATTGAGTGGATTTCTCCATACTTTGCACTCTGTTTAAAAAAAAAGATAACTTAATCTTAAAATTAATCTAGAACTACCCTTACTTAATAGAGCTATCTCTGCATTATGAAGCCTGAAAATGGGAGATCACTGCATCTGAACTAGGTCCCAGTAAAAAGAGTAGAACTTGTCCTTCAAACTGGGGTGCCTTTGAGTCAGTCTTGACACCTGGTCACTTACTGGATAAGTCCATGCAGTTTTCTTGGCAATATTTTTTGAAGTGGTTTGCCACTGTCTTCTTCCTAAGGCTGAGAATGATTGGCCCAAGGTCACCCAGGTGGCTTCATGCCTAGAATTCAGTCTCCTAGTTTCCAGCCTAGTGCCTTTAACCACTACACCAAACTGGCTTTTATCTTTCAAATGAGTGTAAGCCTAAGACTGAGGTGGGCTTCTCACACTGATCTAAAATCAAGTATGAGTAATTATTCACAGATACAGATATCATGGGGAATGAATGCTAAACAGAAGATTGACAAAAATGAAGTTATAGGTGACAAGAACAAGCACATCTGTCCTATTTCTGATTTTCCAAATTGTATTTTGAATGATTATCCACTCCTTCAAGAAAGGAAAGATCTTCAATGCGGAATACATGCAAAAACAGAAAGTGACAAATAGATGCTTAGGTAAATAGAATGGAAGATCTAAAGACAAACCATCTATTATGGATTCATAAATCAGATTGTTTGGCAATTAAAAGATTTTCAGGATACCAGATACCAACTGTCCAATCAAAAACTTAAGTCTATATTTCTTTTCATTGCACAGATACACATATGCCCCTTATAAAAATCAATATTATTTAAATATATAGGCTAATTATTATTAAGTACGTTTACAGAATGCCAGGTATTAGAAACAATCACCTGACAGATTTTGTCTGTTCATTTCATTTTCTCCACTAGCAGCAGAGAAATTTGCCTGTGCAGAACTAGCATTCTCTGCCCCTCCAATGAGTGGTCGCAAATGACTCACGGAAACCTGTTCAATAAAAGACGTGCCATATTTTCTGAAGTACCACCATTCAAATATCTGGAACAAGAAACAGAAAATTATGTAGAATGCATTTTTTATTGTTGTTGTTATTGGTCGCATAGTCAGCCAGAAGTTTAGACTGGATTTGGCATTTTTATCCACCTACTGAGTCCTTCCCAAGGACCTAGGATAGGCAGATGTTGTTGTTTGATAGTGTTAAAAGTATTGTTGCAGGATGTATTATTACTACTACTACTACTACTACATTTTTATCCTGCCTTTTATACATTTTGGTCAACTCAAGGTGGTGAACACACCTAATTCTTCTGCCTCCAATTTTCCCCACAACCACAACCTTGTAAGGTGGGTTAGGCTGAGAGAAACTGACAGGCCCAAAGTCACCCAGCCGGCTATCATACTTAAGGGAGGCCTAGAACTCACAGTCTCCTGGTTTCTAGGCCAGTACCTTAACAACTACACTAAACTGGAAAACATGGGACCAAAAATCTCAGTTATGCAAAACTCCCACAGAACTACAGGCCTGTTAAATATGTAGTATTATTTTCCCTTCAACAGAGAAAATTGACAATTTCCACACAGCTAATCTGACAGAAAAACAGTATATTCTAAAATCAGTGTATTTAAAGGAGCTTGGTTTTACAAATATAGGATTAGAACAGATAATTATAAGCCTCTAATTTCTTGATTAAAGGAACAATTGCACTAATACTACTGTTTTTCTATATCATTTTAATACAAATATTGTTCTAGAACGCCTTGTGTAATATAGTATAGGAAGTAGTAAGAAAATTATTTGAATTGGGATTTATGCTCTTCATGTGTTATTGAAGCCTTAAAAACATATGAATAGACAATAATTTTCTTTTTACATGTCAGAATGAAAATATATTCAATAGTTGGCTTCACATTCAAGTGGTCAACGAGCACTATGCTGCATAGGAATCTCAGAATTTTCCATTTCACAAAATGAGTCTCAGCATGAGTAAACCATAAGCCATTTAATTTGCAGAATTCCCCACAGATGAATTTCCACTATCTTTGTGGTTGCCCATCAAAGAGTATTACAGTGCAACCATATGAGCACAGTCATGATAATAAGGCAACGTTTATTAAGAAAAACCGGAGGTGGGGGGGAGACAAAGGATTATTTAGTTTAAGCAACATGTTAGAAATGTTCTCATTAATGTCTCTTACAATTCTATAAACTTTTTCCTTCCAAGACTGTAACTTATTCTATCAAACAGCACCATCTGGAGTTCAGCTAATATACTAGATGCACTGTATTTTCAACTTGGGGCTAGCATAGTTTGCATAAAATCTAATTTTAAAAATCTACAGCTTTGATGAAATAATGATATATGAAATTTTATTAGGTATGTTCCCCACCTTCCAAATACTGTAAACATCTAAAAAGATACTGAAGATGCATACCTAACTCATTCTTAATTGCGATATACCCCAATATAACATGTTTTTAAAATTACTTCTCTCTGCCTATGGCAGAGATTTAACAATAGGAGGAGCAAATACAGTTTAATCCTAAAAGCAGGTCAGGAACCAAGTTCTTATTCACAGTTTAATGAACACAGGGTTGCTTTCAGATTTAGACAACTGAAATTGATGGGATCAAGTTAGTCAAGATTAACCTAAGGCAAAGTTCATATCAATGAGTCTATTCCAAGTATGACAACATTTGGAACTAACCCACACAGTGCTCTATTCTAAAAGGGAAAAGTGGTGAGGTAAATAAAATCAGTCTTATTCTATGAGTATCTAAAGCGTTCCTCTAATACTCAGTTTGCTTCCGGTGTTTTCAATACCTGTGAACTCAAGCAACAATGTAGCTCACTTCTACTACGTTCCTTGATCAGTTAAGGAAGACAAAAATGCAGAAAAATACTTACAAATATCAGACCAGATATCAAAGATGAAGTCCCCGTAAGTGCAACATAGAATTTTGGAGTCAGTGTGCTCAAGAAAACAGTCACTGCCAATGAAAAGGTTAGCCTTGTCAGTTAACACAGTTGGATTTCACAGTCTTCAGGCTGACAGATGATGGATACATTGATCAAGTCAAGTGGTCTTGTTCACACATAATATTACACTATAAATCATGGCTAAAAAAACCAAACAGCTTGGGTTCACTCATCATACTAAACCAAAACCATATCAATCACAATATGGCTTAACTTAATGTGTTAACCCAGTTAGTGTTAAGAATTAATAGCAAGTTGCTCTACTTTGAGAAATTCAAGAATTTAAAATAAATAGCTGAAAATAGTCTGGAATATTTTAGTGAGAACAGAACCAAGAGCTTATCTAGATAAGATTAAATCCAAAAATCCCAACCCTGAGAGTAATAACACAAGACAGTTCTATTGAAAAATGGCATTGCTAGTTGTAACACCTATATGGTATTTAATATCAGTACAATATTTCCATGTAATATGACTACAGACAAGACAATGTAGATATGGTATAAACTGGAAAAATAAAAAGGAAAAATAACATGGAAAGGACAGAACAATATAAAACTACATTCAACTTTCAATAAATTCTGATTTCTCATTATTACTAAATTAGTTTCCAGAGAAGAACCTGTCCATGTATTAGAGTAGGACTTTCAAGAACATTTCAGTGTAGGAAACTATTGAACAAAAGTCAGATTTTTTATTACTTTAAACTGCACTAGAATAACACAGTTAAAGAAGATGCAATCTGTCCTTTCTTTTAAGAAATGGGGAAAAAAAGCCTTCAAGTTTCACTCTTAAAAACCTTGCTCTCATTAGTGTAGCTTTGTCAATCTGTGAAATATTATAGCAGTTTAGCTATCATCTACATTATTTATATTACAAAGAGAAAGTGAAGGATTATTTATACAATTAATATTCTGTCCTTCTGTCCCCAGAGCACTAGATAATGAATTGAAAAACTGTTTCATAGAACTGAACAAATCCTTTTAAGTCCAAAACACCCAGGTATCATTCAGAAGTAGCTCAGAAAGACACCTCCCTAACCTACAATATTTTGTATAAATGAGTCCCATATCATACTTCATATCATATCATACTTCGTTATACTTGTCAATACAAAGTCTATATCTATAGGCAATCCAGTCATAAGTGGCAAGTGCAATCGGGTCTTCCCTTAAAAAGCCTAATAAGGTTTTCAAAAGCTAGAATAGAGTTCTAGTATCTCTGCACTGCAAAGTAGTTATATAAAGTTGCAGGATGCAAGGAAAGTAGTATAAAGCAAAAAAGGAAAATAATCTTAGCATTCATAATTTAAATCCGTATATGGATTGCACCAAGGACATGTTTTCTCTTGTTTGAATATGAAGAAGAATCAGCTCTGTTAGTAAGCAAGGGTTAAGCAAGCCCAAATTGCAATAAACCATGATGTGAAGTTGGGAACAAGGGAGATTTGGCCTAGCGTATTGTGCAAATCTAGCCAATTGTAATTCAATAAACAATGTTAAATGATCCATGACTTAGTGCAAAGTATGTTCTTTTTGCAGTATAAGTTAGAAACACATAGAAACAAAATATCTGAAGCTCAGATTCAAAGATAAACTAATCAGAAATAAATCCATTACATTATGTAAGGGGATTTGGTTTTATTTTGTTTGCTTTTGCCTTCGACTGACTGCTGCCAACTACTTGCATGTTTGCAGTTTTCTTGGCAACTTTTTCAGTAGTAGTTTGCCACTGCCTTCTTCCTATGGCTGAGACAGTGACTGACCCAAAGTCACCCAGTTGGCTTCATGTCAAGGGCGGGACTGGAACTCGTGGTCTCTCAGTTTGTAGCCTGGTGCCTTTAACCACTATATCAAACTGGCTGTCATGTCCTGTAGGACTTACATATGAATAAATCTGGCTAGTAGTTTAGCTGTATAATCTAACTTATACAGATAAATGCTTAAATACTACTAGTTAGCTTATGATGTCAAAGGTTACTTTAGGTTTTAATTCTGTATATTTAAAATGGTGGATTTTTCAGGTTTGGGTACCACACAAAGCCTCCAATAAAGTTCCAACCCCAGTTAAAGAGCAGTGTATGGAAGAAAAAAAAAGATAATGCACGTGTCCTCAGCAACCCTTTCTTGCTATTTCACATATAATGCAAATACAGCCATAGTCTTTGGGGTTTCAGTCTATTCACTGCTCTAAAAGATTTTTTTAAAAAATCAAATCCAATTAGTTGATAATGAACATTTGACAGCTCTTGCTCTAATGTCATATAATTAATAGAGTTAGCTTCATCTACAACAAAACAATCTTTCAATGCGTTTGAAGTGACAATATGCAAAAAGGAAATCTTACAGACAGCCAGTAAATTAGAGGCAGAATATTAATATTAAGCACTACAAGGCATCCAAGGGAATAATAAACATTGCATTTTGCTTCCATAAGGCAGATAAGTAAGCTTTCTTTCCCCCCAAATATCTTTGATCAAACACACAGAATACTCTCAGGTATCAGCCAGAAACAGATTACCATTTTTAGCATTTTACTGTAGATACCTGCTGCTAAGTTTGCAATCCTATGCAAAACTTGGCAGTAAAATGCAGTGAACTCCACAGGAATATTTTTTGAAAAAAAATCTCATGTGGTAGTATTGTTTTTAACCAGTAACATACAATGAGATTTCTTAATCTCTAGTTAAAATAGGTGGATAACTCTTTAAAAAGAAAATGTGCTGGGGATGAGAAATGTTTACTAATTTGCCTTGTTCTAATAAAAGTTTAGGAGAGGCATATAACTGCCCAGAGTTAAGGTCAATTTTTTTTTTTTTTTTTGATGACACTAGGCATTTGACAGTTCTTCATGTTAACACTGTCAACCTTCATGGCTTACCAAAATGAACAGATGAGAAAAAGTAAAACAAAACAAAGGAAACTGAAAAAAAAAAGCACAGGCCCAACGATTTAAAAAGGAATTAAATACTATGATGAAAGTGGGGAATTCAAGAGGCTGTTTAGATTTCACTGCTAGAAATAATGAGGCCTCTGGAGGATGGAAGCATTTAAAAATGCCCAGTAGAGAAGAAATGTGCAAGAGCTGAAAATGGGAATCAGAGGGAAAAAAATCCTGTGATATTACGCTATTTTTTCTGTACTGCAGACTACTACCCTCAAAATATAACACATCCCAAACTCCGTTTGAGACAAATAAAATAAGAGCCCTAGCACCAGCTGTAATCACCAGCACGCAAACCTAGCCTGAATGAGTAGAGATAATATCTCTGATCATGTGCAAAGTTCCTCTAACTGCACTCCAAGATGAGCGATACTGCACGAAACTGCAAGACAGCAACTTGGCAGGCCCGGATCTCTCCCCAAACCGACTTCCTCGACCCCGACCTTAAGGAGCGCCCCGTGGGCTCCCCTATCCCCGCCACCTGATTTCCTCTGCGCCCGCAGAACTGCTTTACAGCCCCGGCGCGACCGTCCCCTTACCTGCCACTAAGTTGTCCCGCAGCCGGAGCGGGCCCCGCAAGAAGTAAAGGAGACCCAGCGCCGCCAGGAAGCCAAACGACCGCGCCCAGGGCCCAGCTGCCAGCCTCAGTCGCTCCCAGCGCCGAGGACAGGGGCCGGGGCCAGGGGGCTGCGAGGAAGACGCCGCGGCATCCTCATTCACAGGACCGCTCTCCGCCATGACTCCCGCCCTCGGCTTGCTGAGGCCGGGCGGGCGGAGGGAGGCAGGAGGGCGGGGCCAGCAGGGCGCGCCGCCGCGGCCGCTCCGACCACTCGGGTGAAAGCGGGCGCGCGCAGCGGGCACGGGGGGGGGGGGGGGGG